TATTTCCTTTCCCTCAGAAGTTTTTAGTAGGAGGAATAAAACACTTAACCTAATAATTATAATAAAAGTATTGATTCAAAACAAAATAGAAGTTAAGGAAGGCAGAGGCTGCTTATGTTTGACGATGAGGAAATAGTTCATGGAGGTGGTGCCATTGGAGTTCGGCTAGGTGAGGGGCTTTCTTGCAGGCATGGCTATAAGGGCAGGTGGTTCAAGCGGAGGAAGATGTGAGAAAGGGTGCAATGGTTTGATCATTTCCATGAAAAAAAGTAGTGCAGTTTGGCCACAGAGTGTAAGTAGGACATACCTCTGAGAGTTTGTTGAGAAGCAATAATGTCCTGGGCTTGAAGGTTTCTGCGACAATGCAAAGAAAAGATAAGTAACAACATGTAGTTAGTATTTACATTGCAAGACAGATTACAATAATGACTGTTACCTACTAATCTGATGATCTGCTTGTCCATATGTTTAAAAATAAACACATGGTAAAATAATAAATGTATATGTGTGTGCGTTTTAACTTTTTGATGACTTTAGTTTCACATTATTATGACCCTTGATTCCCAACAAAACCTTCATAACTGACAATTGACTATCAAGAGTCAAATTTCAAGTCTATTTATTTCTTAATGATCTACTTATAATTTCTGGATCAGGAAAGAAAAGATATAAAATTATATTTAGGCTAATATATTTTCAAAAACCTTTCTTTCATGTAACTTCAATTGTATCTGACTTCCAGAGACTACTGTTTTTTAGGAAAAAAGACAGGGAAAGATTATCCGAGAAAATGTGCCTACCCATGGAAGTGGTCTCCAATCATTTGGGTTTTACACATGAACATAGTTCTTCACCCACTACTACTTCATTGATAACATCAACATAAAGATTTAGGAAATAACCCTGTATTTTCATAAGCCATGTACCATATATACATACACAATGTTATGCTATACATCATTTCATTTGATTTCATAACTTGCTTTTCATTGCTTTTACCAAAGCAGATCATCTTTTTATTTGGCTATGTTATTTTTCTCGTGTAACTAATGTAGTATGTTATCTTTGCCAACTAAGAATTGTTTGAATATGGATCAACCACGCCTCAAGAACTTATTGAGAAA